GGGGGGGGGAGAAGAAACGCTGAATGCTAAGACAGCTTAGATAACTCCCGATTCTGAAACTAGTTGTTAAATACAAAAAAACAAAAAACAAAAAAAAAAAACCCTTTAAAACCTGAGTTAAGATTAAGGGCGACCGACTCACCTTGATAGTAGACAACAGTTTCTTTGCGTGTGGGTCTTTTGTGAAGTGATCGCGAACAGGCTGCAGGGAATACGAGGCGGCAACAATAAACAAAAACAAACAAACAAACAAACAAACAAATGATGCACATAGACTGTTACTCGGATTTAATTCAGAAAGAGTATTTCCAAAAATGCTAGTTCTATTTTACTTCTATTTTCACTTGCCCATAGACTGTTACTGGGTTTTAATTCAGAAATACTATTTCCAAAACTGCTACTTCTATTTTCACTTTTCGACGATAAAAACTCCAGGAGGAGGAGGTGGAAACACACAAAACAAAACAAAAACGGAAAAAAAAAGGGGAGAAAAAGGGACAAAAAAGGGAAAACAAAACAAAGGACCTCAGCTCCACTACACAACATACTAAGTGTATGTGGATCTGTTAGAGATCCGATGCATTCAAAACATTCAATCACTCTGGTCCACTCCCCAGTCCAGATACTCTCGGAATGCTCAGAAAGTGGAGTGAGGCCCATGGTCTGGAATGCAGCTGGAAAATGTGAAATTGATATGCAGAATTAGGAAACTCCAGAAATCCAATGACGGTTATTTCAAATGATTTGAAAGTAACAGCACATGGACACCCCCCCCCCCCCCCCCCCCCCCCCAAAAAAAAAAAAAAAAAAAAAAAAAACCCTGAAAAGTTGTCAACTTAGCCTCTATTATTTTTTAATACTTTTTATTATATCTTTTTAATTATAAGTTATAACTTATAAGGCTAAGACGTTACACACTTAGGCTATACAGAGTTATAGAGTCATATAGACATATGGCTAAGTTATAAGGCTAAGACGTTACACACTTAGGCTATACAGAGTTATAGAGTCATATAGACATAAGGCTACATGACGCTACAACGTTACACACTTAGTCTATACAGAATTATGGAGTCATATAGTCTATAACAGAGTTATGGAGTCATATAGACATATAAGGCTACAACGTACAAACTTAGTCAATAACAGAGTTATAGAGTCATCTATTTAATATTTATACTATATAGTATATAGCCATAGGAAGGACGACCGCAGACATCCTCCTATAACGCAATGCTGCAGTTATGAATGTCGTCAACACAATACTTCCAGACAACTTTCACTCACCAGACTGCAGTCAGTTGAGAGAACTTTCACTCAAGCAGACGGAAGCAATAAGTAGATTACGCTTCGCACAAGTTTACGGTCATGTTCTAACTTCTAAGGCTGCTTTTTTTTTTTTTTTTTTTTTTTTTCATAGA